CTTCTTTCAACTAGGAAAAAAATCTAATTCAGTTTTTTTTTAAATCTCTGAAAGCGTCGTGCTTGTCTCCAAATGACGCTGGAGCTGCACGGACTTCACACTTTTCGTTCGCCGGCAACTTCGTAGCGTAGCAACGCATCGCGCCCTTGGTCCCCGTGGTCACCAGTCCGTGTGAAGGCCGGGTTAGCCCCAGCCCCCACCCCCAGCCCCCCCCAGCCCCCAGCCCCAGCCCCCACCCCCAGCCACCCCTCACCCCCAGCCCCCACCTCTAGCCCTAGCCCCCACCCTGATCCCCCAGCCCCCACCCTCACCAGGTGAGTCGGCACGGCGGCTCCCCGCGGGGCAGCCCCTTCCAGGGGGAGGGGAGGGCGAGGCCCCCACCCCCCACTGATGGCTCATTAACGTTAAGTGCCCCCCCCCCCATGTCCCATGAGAGACACCACGCGGGTATAACAAACAACAACAATGACGAACACAACATGCACAACAAAAAGAACAAACAACACACAACAACATCAACGCACAACCACAACATCAAAAAACCACAACATCAAACACACAACAACGTCAACATACAACCACAACAAACAACAACAACAGACGACTGCAAAATAATTGGCAACAAATAAAACAACAACTAACCACAAGTCGAGTCGGGTGCTTTAACCAGAGGCTACCCCCCACCGCCCCCCCCCCCACAACCGCCCCCCCCCCACAACCGCCCCCCAACAACCGCCCAGGCCACGTAGCCACAGTCCCTGCTCTCAGGCGTTGTCTGGGCCGGGCCTGGTTACAGTTGCCATGGCAGCCGTCAACTCGATTGGTCCTCACGTCTGAGCAAAGGTGAGGAGGAGAGGAGGGAGGTGTGGATGGGAGGGGGAGGAGGGGGAAGCGATAATATATCACCATCATCACCAACATCACCAACATCATCAGCATCATCACCATCATCAGCATCATCACCATCACCATCATCACCAACATCACCATCATCACCAACATCACCAACATCATCCAACATCACCAGCATCATCAGCATCATCACCATCATCACCATCATCAGCATCATCACCATCATCATTATCAACATCACCATCATCACCATCATCACCAACATCATCAGCATCTTCTTGGTTCTTTCGGTAAAGTCACGTAGAAGGAAAATAATAAAATAATAAAATAAAACATTATAAAATAATTCTCACGACGTTTCGGCCACAACGCAAGCAGCCGTCTTCAGGTGGAGAACAGGTCTGTCAAGTAGACAGAGTCTGAATGGCACGCCCCAGGCTTGGAGCGACTATTTATGCTGGGATGGAGGGGCGAAGAGCGTCTTGACAAAATAATTTGCATATTAAGAGGAATTTAGCATATTTATGGAAAATGCAGATATGCGATTAGTACTACTTGTGAAATGCGTAGGAGGTTTGGCGCGGGGTTTAAAGTCATTATGCCCGTGCATTTTGCAGGATTAGCAGTATCGAAGGGAAGGAGTAAGGTTAGAATTAATAAAGGGAAGGAATGTTAATAATATGGCGCCGGAAATCTTTTTTGTGACCCCAGCAATGTAGGGTGGACCCCCTAATGGAGCATCTTCACCGGTTAGAAACATTTAGGCTGGCCTGCCTACGATCCATCATCGGTTTAACCAGGCTGGATTGTGTGAGGAGCTCACAAATCCTTGAAAGATCTGGAAAAAGTCCCATCGGTGAGCTTCTCCGGCAGGCAAGGCTGCGTTGGCTGGGTCATGTAGCCCGCATGCCCAGCCACCGCATGCCTAAACAGCTTTTATTCGGCCGGATAGAGGGGGCGAAACTGGCGCGGCACGGGTTGGAGAAAAGATGGAGTGATGTGGTACAGGAGGATGTGGAGCTGAGTGGACTTACTTATGACTGCTACCAGCGGTGTCAAGATCGGCCTCTGTGGAGGAGGCTCGTGAAGGAAGCTACTGGGCAGTTGGAGACAGTCGCCCTCCAACAGCAATGGAGGGCGGAGAAGCGATACTCGCAACAACGAGTGGAGCGCCGGGTGGCTAAAGTACAGCAAGTTGGCGCAGTAGGGGGCACAGGTAGTGCATCAGCCGGTGGCACCTGGGTCTGCCCCATGACCTCCTGCCAGCGGGCGTTCGACACTTCACGTGGCCTCAACGTGCACATAGCCTGGCACGAGCGTTGTGGTAACATCACCGCCACTTAGTGGCGAATGGCGGTTGTTGTTGTGAGTGAGTGAGGGTGAGTGCGGGTGAGTTAAAGTGTGGAGAGCGGTAGTGTAGCGGTTAGTGCGCTGCGCGGGTGAGTGAGTGAGGGTGAGTGAGGGTGAGTGAGTGAGGGTGGGTGAGGGTGAGTGAGTGAGGGTGAGTGAGTGGGTGAGGGTGAGTGAGGGTGAGTGAGGGTGAGCGAGTGAGGGTGAGTGAGTGAGGGTGAGTGAGAGTGAGGGTGAGTGGATGAGTGAGTGGGTGAGGGTGAGTGAGGGTGAGTGAGTGAGTGAGGGTGAGTGAGTGAGTGAGTGGGTGAGGGTGAGTGAGTGAGGGTGAATGAGTGAGGGTGAGTGAGTGAGGGTGAGTGAGGGTGAGTGAGTGAGGGTGAGTGAGTGAGTGAGGGTGAGTGAGTGGGGCAGTGAGTGAGAGTGAGTGAGGGTGAGTGGGTGAGGGTGGGTGAGTGAGTGAGCGAGGGTGAGTGAGGAGTGAGTGAGTGAGGGTGAGTGAGTGAGTGAGGGTGAGTTAGTGAGTGAGTGGGTGAGGGTGAGTGAGTGAGGGTGAATGAGTGAGGGTGAGTGAGTGAGGGTGAGTGAGGGTGAGTGAGTGAGGGTGAGTGAGAGTGAGTGAGGGTGAGTGAGTGGGTGAGGGTGAGTGAGTGGGTGAGGGTGAGTGAGGGTGAGTGAGGGTGAGTGAGTGAGGGTGAGTGAGTGCGGGTGAGTGAGTGGGTGAGGGTGAGTGAGGGTGAGTGAGTGAGGGTGAGTGAGTGAGTGGGTAAGGGTGAGTCAGGGTGAGTGAGTGAGGGTGAGTGGGTGAGTGAGGGTGAGTGAGTGGGTGAGGGTGAGTGAGGGTGAGTGAGGGTGAGTGAGTGAGGGTGAGTGAGTGCGGGTGAGTGAGTGGGTGAGGGTGAGTGAGGGTGAGTGAGTGAGGGTGAGTGAGTGAGTGGGTAAGGGTGAGTCAGGGTGAGTGAGTGAGGGTGAGTGGGTGAGTGAGGGTGAGTGAGTGAGAGAGGGTGAGTGAGGGTGAGTGAGTGAGTGAGTGAGGGTGAGTGAGTGAGTGCGTGAGAGTGAGTGAGGGTGAGTGAGTGGGAGAGGGTGAGTCAGGGTGAGTGAGTGAGGGTGAGTGTGAGTGAGGGTGAGTGAGGGTGAGTGAGAATGAGTGAGTGGGTGAGGGTGAGTGAGTGAGGGTGAATGAGTGAGGGTGAGTGAGTGAGGGTGAGTGAGGGTGAGTGAGTGAGGGTGAATGAGAGTGAGTGAGGGTGAGGGTGAGTGAGTGGGTGAGGGTGAGTGAGTGGGTGAGGGTGAGTGAGTGAGGGTGAGTGAGTGAGGGTGAGTGAGTGAGTGAGTGAGGGTGAGTGAGTGAGGGTGAGTTAGTGAGTGAGTGGGTGAGGGTGAGTGAGTGAGGGTGAATGAGTGAGGGTGAGTGAGTGAGGGTGAGTGAGGGTGAGTGAGTGAGGGTGAGTGAGAGTGAGTGAGGGTGAGGGTGAGTGAGTGGGTGAGGGTGAGTGAGGGTGAGTGAGTGCGGGTGAGTGAGTGGGTGAGGGTGAGTGAGGGTGAGTGAGTGAGGGTGAGTGAGTGAGTGGGTAAGGGTGAGTCAGGGTGAGTGAGTGAGGGTGAGTGGGTGAGTGAGGGTGAGTGAGTGAGAGAGGGTGAGTGAGGGTGAGTGAGTGAGTGAGGGTGAGTGAGTGAGTGAGGGTGAGTGAGTGAGTGAGTGCGTGAGAGTGAGTGAGGGTGAGTGAGTGGGAGAGGGTGAGTCAGGGTGAGTGAGTGAGGGTGAGTGAGGGTGAGTGAGGGTGAGTGAGAATGAGTGAGTGAGTGAGGGTGAGTGAGTGGGAGAGGGTGAGTCAGGGTGAGTGAGTGTGAGTGAGGGTGATTGAGGGTGAGTGAGTGTGGTTGAGTGAGTGAGGGTGAGTGAGTGAGGGTGAGTGAGAGAGGGTGAGTGAGTGTGAGTGAGGGTGATTGAGGGTGAGTGAGTGAGGGTGAGTGAGTGAGGGTGAGTGAATGAGTGAGGGTGAGAGAGGGTGAGTGAGTGGGTGAGGGTGAGTGAGTGAGTGAGTGAGGGTGAGTGAGTGAGTGGGTGAGTGAAGGTGAGTGGGTGAAGGTGAGTGAGTGAGGGTGAGTGAGGGTGAGTGAGTGAGTGAGGGTGCGTGAGTGAGTGGGTGAGTGAGGGTGAGTGAGTGAGGGTGAGTGATAGTGAGTGACGGTGAGTGAGTGGGTGAGGGTGAGTGGGTGGGTGAGGGTGAGTGAGAATGAGTGAGTGAGTGAGGGTGAGTGAGTGGGAGAGGGTGAGTCAGGGTGAGTGAGTGTGAGTGAGGGTGATTGAGGGTGAGTGAGTGTGGTTGAGTGAGTGAGGGTGAGTGAGTGAGTGAGGGTGAGTGAGAGAGGGTGAGTGAGTGTGAGTGAGGGTGATTGAGGGTGAGTGAGGGTGAGTGAGTGAGGGTGAGTGAATGAGTGAGGGTGAGAGAGGGTGAGTGAGTGGGTGAGGGTGAGTGAGTGAGTGAGGGTGAGTGAGTGAGTGGGTGAGTGAAGGTGAGTGGGTGAAGGTGAGTGAGTGAGGGTGAGTGAGGGTGAGTGAGTGAGTGAGGGTGCGTGAGTGAGTGGGTGAGTGAGTGAGGGTGAGTGATAGTGAGTGACGGTGAGTGAGTGGGTGAGGGTGAGTGGGTGGGTGAGGGTGAGTGAGTGAGTGAACAGGGGGAGGGGTGTCAAGAGGGGAGGGGGAGGAGGGGTCAATTGGGTAAGGGGGGGATCAAGGGGTGGGGGTGGAGAGGTCACGTGGCTTCCGGTCTGACGTCAGTCTCCATGGTAACCGTGGACGTGATGGCCGCGCACCTCAGACACGCGAACAGGTAAGAGAGAGAGCGCTGTGGGTGAGAGCGAGCGCTGTTAGCGAGCGCCTATCATGGGCAGCACGGGGTGGGTGGGGCGGGCTGCGCCCCACGCCGTCTTTGTCTCTCCCGTGTTCACGGTCACACAAGCTGCCGGCTAATTTACGGCCGAGTTGACCCAGAGGAGGCTGACGGTGTGGATTGAGGACTCATCATCATTGCAGGACTTGATTCACACATTCACTTACACACTCACGCACTCACACACACACTCACGCACTCACACACTAACACACTCACAACAACAACCGTCATTCGCCACTAAGTGGCGGTGACGTCACCACGACGCTTGTGCCAGGCCAAGTGCACCTTGAGGCCACGTGAAGTGTCGAACGCCCGCTGACAGGTCACGGGGCAGCCCCAGCAGGTGCCACGGGTCGACTGACCGAGATGACTGGCTGATGCACCACCTGTGCTCCCTACTGTACCAACTTGCTGTGCTTTAGCCACCCGGCACTCCGCTCGTTGTTGTGAGCTTCGCTCCTCCGCCCTCCGTTGTTGTTGGAGGGCCACTTCCTCCAACTGCCCAGTAGCGTCCTTCACGAGCCTCCTCCACAGAGGGCGATCTTGACACCGCTGGTACCAGTCATCGGCAAGTCCACTCAGCTCCACGTCCTCCTGTACCACATCACTCCATCTCTTCTCTAGCCCGTGCTGCGCCCGTTTAGCCCCCTCGATCCGGCCGAACAAAAGCTGTTTAGGCATGCGGTGGCTGGGCATGCGGTGGCTGGGCATGCGGTGGCTGGGCATGCGGTGGCTGGGCATGCGGTGGCTGGGCATGCGGTGGCTGGGCATGCGGTGGCTGGGCATGCGGTGGCTGGGCATGCGGTGGCTGGGCATGCGGTGGCTGGGCATGCGGTGGCTGGGCATGCGGGCTACATGACCCAGCCAACGCAGCCTTGCCAGCCGGAGGAGCTCACCGATGGGACTTTGCCCAGATCTTTCAAGGATTTGTGAGCTCCTCACACAATCCAGCCTGGTTAAACCCAGGATGGATCGTAGGCAGGCCAGCCTAAATGTTTCCAACCGACGAAGATGCTCCATTAGGGGGTTCCACGTTTCGCAAGCGTAGAGAAGGGAGGAAATGACCGTGACCGAGAAGACCTGAAGCTTCGTGCGGAGTGACAGAACAGGTAGCTTCCACACAGCGTTACGCAACTGATGAAAAGATATTGCCGCTCGACTGATTCGGAGTGAGACCTCTGCTGTTAAACTGGAACCGGTCATAAGCACACTGCCCAGGTATGGGAAACTCTCCACTCTCACCACAACTGCCCCATCACCGATTGGGAGTTGTGGGGGTGGAGTGTCCGATGGTACAAAATACCCAGGCAGGTGCTTAGTTTTGGTGGGGCTGATGGTAAGGCCCCACCTCTTCGTGGCAAGCTCCAGTCTCAGCAGCAGCGTCTCCAACTCCTCTTCTGAATGAGCAGCTATTACCAAATCATCGGCATACATAACGTGGTTGACCAATAGGGAGCCATCCCTTGATCGCACCCGGGCGTCGATCAGCCTCCCATTATATCTGTACCAAATGGAAATTCCCCCGGTACAGCTATTGAAGGCTTCACGAACTACGCAGTCGAAATACAGTGATCCCTCGTTTATCGCGGTTAACGGGGACCGGAACCCCACGCGATAGGTGAAAATCCGCGAAGTAGGATTGGCCCCCTAGGAATTTCCATATATGTGTGTGTAGGTACCAGAATGTTTAAAATATGTATATTGTACTTTATATATATATTTTACTTAAATCTATTTAATCATAAAACCTTAATATTATACATTTACTCACTCACATATATTTTACTTAAATCTATTTAATTATAAAACCTTAATATTATACATTCACTCTCTCTCTCTCATACGATACGTATTATGGTGTTCTACACTCACCAGTTAATTTCGAACACAACACTAAGATACGCGAGACACAGTTGACAGCGTGAACGAGAGTGGCGAGATACAACAAGGGAAGAAGCTGGGAGAGGATGCGATGATGCGCAGCCAATCAGCTCACGGGATACTGTACATCCACTCGTGCTCTCATTCGTCGATCTCGCGCCGGGAACCAATCACGTGCCTTGTCTGAGTGCCCGTGGGTATGTACAAAGCCTCTGAGAGAGTTTCTCTCTTTGTCTGGCATCCTGGGAAACCGTTTTTCTCACGCATCACGATGAAACAACGCTGCTTTCCGCAATACGGCTGCCGATATGGCGGTATTTTTTAATTTTAATTTTTCGATGAATATTTTTGAAAAATCCGCGATGCACTGAGGCCGCGAAACTTGAACCGCGAAGTGGCGAGGGATTACTGTAGATGTTAAATAATGTGGGAGCCAGAGAGCATCCCAGTCGCACCCCAAGGTGTACAGGGAAAGGCTCCGACTCCTGGCCACGTAGTTTTACCCGGGCCCGCTCACCATCATGAAGGTCCTTAATGATCGTGAGCAGAGGGTCAGAGACTCCGAAAGCACGAAGAACAACCCAGAGCCCAGGCCTACTGATGGTATCATAGGCCTTGACCAGATCAATAAAGAAGAGATGTAGGTCTTGTTGGAATTCCCTACACCTCTGCTGTAGCAGACAGACAGAAAATATGGCATCTGTGCAGGACCGCCCTTTCCTGAAACCGCATTGGGGTTCTGCAAGCCTCTCCTCAGCGTGCCTAGCAAGGCAATGTTGAATAATCCTTGCCAGGACTTTTCCCGGCACACTGAGGAGTGAGATGCCCCTGTAGTTGTTACAGTCTGTGCGGTCCCCCTTCTTAAAGAGGGGGACCACCAGGGCATCCTTCCAATCCTACACACTCACTCACACACACTCACTCACACACTCACTCAGACGCTCACTTACACACTCATCCACTCACTCATACACTGACACACACTCACTCACACACTCACTCACACACTCACACACTCACTCACACACTCACACACTCAATCACTCTCACTCACCCTCACTCGCTCACCCTCACTCACCCTCACTCACTCACCCTCACTCACGCTCACCAACCCACTCACGCTCACCCACTCACGCTCACCCATCCACTCACGCTCACCCACCCACTCACGCTCACCAACCCACTCACGCTCACCCACCCACTCACACTCACCCACCCACTCACGCTCACCAACCCACTCACGCTCACCCACCCACTCACGCTCACCCACCCACTCACACTCACCCACCCACTCACGCTCACCCACTCACCCACCCACTCACACCCACCCACTCACGCTCATCCACCCACCCACTCACGCTCACCAACCCACTCACGCTCACCCACCCACTCACGCTCACCCACCCACTCACACTCACCCACCCACTCACACCCACCCACTCACACCCACCCACTCACACTCACCCACCCACCCACTCACGCTCACCAACCCACTCACGCTCACCCACCCACTCACACTCACCCACCCACTCACACTCACCCACTAACACTCACCCACCCACTCACGCTCACCAACCCACTCACGCTCACCCACCCACTCACGCTCACCCACTCACGCTCACCCACCCACTCACGCTCACCCACCCACTCACGCTCACCCACCCACTCACGCTCACCCACCCACGCTCACCAACCCACTCACGCTCACCAACCCACTCACGCTCACCCACCCACTCACGCTCACCCACCCACTCACGCTCACCCACCCACTCACACCCACCCACCCACTCACGCTCACCAACCCACTCACGCTCACCAACCCACTCACGCTCACCCACCCACTCATGCTCACCCACCCACTCACACTCACCCACTCACGCTCACCAACCCACTCACGCTCACCCACCAACTCACACTCAACCACCCACCCACTCACGCTCACCCACCCACCCACTCACGCTCCCCAACCCACTCATGCTCACCCACCCACTCACGCTCACCCACCCACTCACACTCACCCACTCATGCTCACCATCCCACTCACACTCACCCACCCACTCACACTCACCCACTCATGCTCACCATCCCACTCACACTCACCCACCCACTCATGCTCACCAGGCTGAAGTTCACCCTCACCCCTCTCTCTGCCTGCTCCCCCGGCACGCTCCACGCTGGAACTCGCTCTCCCATCGTCTCGTCTCTCCCCAAGCGCTCACAACAACAACAACAAGAACCGCGTTCGGTGCTGTTCGTTACTGGCCGCTGCACGTTTCGGACCCTGTGCTCAGCAAGTGCATTGCAAAGACCACGCTGCTGCGCTGTATGCTCTAGTCCAGTGGGCTCATGTGACCTTCTCTAGCCACAAGAGGCCGCTACATCCACCACTTTGTTAACACTAAGAATGCATTTCTTTTATGGAGTCTAAAAACGCAGCGGTTCTTAACATGGGGTGCGAGATTCCCTCTCTGGGGGTGTGCGAGACACGGGCAGATCTTTGTTCGAAGGTAAATCATCGAAAAGACAAATTAAAGCACGGCGCAACGTAAGTGACAACTTTGTTTTGATCAACTCCTCCTCTGCGTTATCTTTTAACGTGATACATTGTTGAACGATGGAGAACCAAAGGGACGCAAGGCTGCAGCACAGCTTAAGACACACCGCGACACCAGGACGTGGAGGGATACAAACACGGCCGGGGCGGCGGGGTGGGGGTTGAGGGTCTCTACGTGCGAGCGCTGCTCAGGGTCTCTCCCCGCCCCCTCCCCCTGCCCCCACCCCCGCCCCCACCCCACCCCCTCTCCCTCCCCCACCCCCTCCCCACCCCACCCCCTCCCCCACCCCACCCCCTCCCCACCCCACCCCCTCCCCCTCCCCACTGCGACTGTAGCTGACTGAGCCCCTCCGAGCTCGGCACCCCGTGGAGGAGGAGGAGGCGGAGCAGGGGGATGGCGGCACTGCGGACATCGCAGCGCGGAGGGGACTCGAACCCGGCCACGGTGGGTGCAGGGAGTCAAGGAGGGTGCAGGGAGTAAAGGGGGGTGCAGGGAGTCAAGGGGGGTGCAGGGAGTAAAGGGGGGTGCAGGGAGTCGAGGGGGGTGCAGGGAGTCAAGGGGGGTGCAGGGAGTAAAGGGGGGTGCAGGGAGTAAAGGGGGGTGCAGGGAGTCGAGGGGGGTGCAGGGAGTCAAGGGGGGTGCAGGGAGTCAAGGGGGGTGCAAGGAGTCAAGGGGGGTGCAGGGAATCAAGTAGGGTGCAGGGAGTAAAGGGGGGTGCAGGGAGTCAAGGGGGTGCAGGGAGTCAAGGAGGGTGCAGGGAGTAAAGGGGGGTGCAGGGAGTCAAGGGGGGTGCAGGGAGTCAAGGAGGGTGCAGGGAGTAAAGGGGGGTGCAGGGAGTCAAGGAGGGTGCAGGGAGTAAAGGGGGGTGCAGGGAGTAAAGGGGGGTGCAGGGAGTCAAGGAGGGTGCAGGGAATAAAGGGGGGTGCAGGGAGTCAAGGGGGGTGCGGGGAGTTAAGGGAGGTGCAGGGAGTCAAGGGGGGGGCAGGGAGTCAAGGGGGGTGCAGGGAGTCAAGGGGGGTGCGGGGGGTCAAGGGGGGTGCAGGGAGTCAAGGGGGGTGCAGGGAGTCAAGGGGGGTGCAGGGAGTCAAGGGGGGTGCAGGAAGTAAAGGGGGGTGCAGGGAGTCAAGGGGGGTGCAGGAAGTAAAGGGGGGTGCAGGGAGTCAAGGAGGGTGCAGGGAGTCAAGGAGGGTGCAGGGAGTAAAGGGGGGTGCAGGGAGTCAAGGGGGGTGCAGGGAGTCAAGGGGGGTGCAGGGAGTCAAGGGGGGTGCAGGGAGTCAAGGAGGGTGCAGGGAGTAAAGGGGGGTGCAGGGAGTCAAGGGGGGTGCAGGGAGTAAAGGGGGGTGCAGGGAGTCGAGGGGGGTGCAGGGAGTCAAGGGGGTGCAGGGAGTAAAGGGGGGTGCAGGGAGTAAAGGGGGGTGCAGGGAGTAAAGGGGGGTGCAGGGAGTCGAGGGGGGTGCAGGGAGTCAAGGGGGGTGCAGGGAGTCAAGGGGGGTGCAAGGAGTCAAGGGGGGTGCAGGGAATCAAGGAGGGTGCAGGGAGTAAAGGGGGGTGCAGGGAGTCAAGGGGGGTGCAGGGAGTCAAGGAGGGTGCAGGGAGTAAAGGGGGGTGCAGGGAGTCAAGGGGGGTGCAGGGAGTCAAGGAGGGTGCAGGGAGTAAAGGGGGGTGCAGGGAGTCAAGGAGGGTGCAGGGAGTAAAGGGGGGTGCAGGGAGTAAAGGGGGGTGCAGGGAGTCAAGGAGGGTGCAGGGAATAAAGGGGGGTGCAGGGAGTCAAGGGGGGTGCGGGGAGTTAAGGGGGGTGCAGGGAGTCAAGGAGGGTGCAGGGAGTCAAGGGGGGTGCAGGGAGTCAAGGGGGGTGCGGGGGGTCAAGGGGGGTGCAGGGAGTCAAGGGGGGTGCAGGGAGTCAAGGGGGGTGCAGGGAGTCAAGGGGGGTGTAGGAAGTAAAGGGGGGTGCAGGGAGTCAAGGGGGGTGCAGGAAGTAAAGGGGGTGCAGGGAGTCAAGGAGGGTGCAGGGAGTCAAGGAGGGTGCAGGGAGTAAAGGGGGGTGCAGGGAGTCAAGGGGGGTGCAGGGAGTCAAGGGGGGTGCAGGGAGTCAAGGGGGGTGCAGGGAGTCAAGGAGGGTGCAGGGAGTCAAGGGGGGTGCAGGAAGTAAAGGGGGGTGCAGGGAGTCAAGGAGGGTGCAGGGAGTAAAGGGGGGTGCAGGGAGTCAAGGGGGGTGCAGGGAGTAAAGGGGGGTGCAGGGAGTCAAGTGGGGTGCAGGGAGTAAAGGGGGGTGCAGGGAGTCAAGGTGGGTGCAGGGAGTCAAGGGGGGTGCAGGGAGTAAAGGGGGGTGCAGGGAGTCAAGGGGGGTGCAGGGAGTAAAGGGGGGTGCAGGGAGTCAAGGTGGGTGCAGGGAGTCAAGGAGGGTGCAGTGAGTAAAGGGGGGTGCGGGGAGTTAAGGGAGGTGCGGGGAGTCAAGGAGGGTGCAGCGAGTCAAGGGGGGTGCAGGGAGTCAAGGGGGGTGCAGGGAGTCAAGGGGGGTGCAGGGAATCGAGGGGGGTGCAGGAAGTCGAGGGGGGTGCAGGGAGTCGAGGGGGGTGCAGGGAGTCAAGGAGGGTGCAGGGAGTCAAGGGGGGTGCAGGGAGTCAAGGAGGGTGCAGGGAGTCAAGGGGGGTGCAGGGAGTCGTTAGTAATCTCTCGGAGGAGGGAATCGGAGTGTGTCTCTCTTAGTTAAATGACAAGTCGTCTGGGGGGCCCCTAGGTCCACTCGGCCTGTAAGAGTTATTATCTCGCGTGGACGTCGTGGCAGATCCAAGGGAAGGAAGGTGGGGACAGTGCCTCTTGACACAGAGTATCGGTGTGTGTATTGCTCATGTACCAGAGAACATGTTGCATGACTTGGTATCTCCCCTCCGGGAAGTTTATAGCTCTGCCCCTGTGTGGTGCTATTGGTGGTGGTGCTGGTGATGATGGTGGTGGTGGTGGTGCCGCTAATGATGGTGGTGCTGGTGGTTGTGGTGCTGGTGATGGCGCTAATGGTGATGGTGGCGCTGGCGATGGTGGTGGTGAGGGTGGTGGTGCTGGTGCTGTTGGTGATGAACACCAGCTTTTAACAGCCATTGGCCTTGTCTGGTGCTGACCTCGCCACCACCCCTATCAGCTGTGCCCGACGGCGGCCTTAATAGGCTCTTGCTAACAACGCAACGGGCATCCTGTGCGTGCCGCCACCTCTCCAGGTGAAGGAGCTCAGCTCGGCGATCGTTGCCATGGCGATGCAGGACCACATCGCCCGCGACCTGGGCCTGACGCAGGCCCTGACTAGGCCCAGGATGCCCCGGGGCCCGAGGCTTCGACAACGAGGGCAGGGTGGTCCTGAGGGGGGTCCCAGTCGGGAGTCTGGTGGGGGTCCCGGGGGGGGCCCGAGCGGGCGCCCCGATGAGGAGCGGGAGTACGTGCTGGGCCCCAGAGCGCCTCCGCTCACTCTGGGTGGGTGACCTCACCTTGTCACAACGACAACAACAAACTCACCCGTTTGCCAAACTCACCAGTTTGCCAAACTCAAACTCACTCGCTCAGACTCACCCACTCAAAATCACCCACTGAAACTCACCCACACAAACTCACACACTCAGACTCACACACTCAAACTCACCACTAAAACTCACCCACTCAAACTCACCCACTCAAACTCACCCACTTAAACTCACCCACTCAAACTCACCCACTCAAACTCACCCACTCAGACTCACCCACTCAGACTCACCCACTCAGACTCACCCACTCAAACTCACCCACTCAAACTCACCCACTCAAACTCACCCACTCAAACTCACCCACTCAAACTCACCCACTCAAACTCACCCACTAAAACTCACCCAACTCAAACTTACACACACAAACTCACCCACTCAAATTCACCCACTCAAACTCACCCACAAAAAATTCGCCCACTCAAACTCACCCACTCACACTCACCCACTCAAACTCACCCACTCAAACTCACCCACTCACACTCACCCACTCAAACTCACCCACTCAAACTCAGCCACTCAAACTCACCCACTCAAACTCACCCACTCAAACTCACCCACTCAGACTCACCCACTCAGACTCACCCACTCAGACTCACCCACTCAAACTCACCCACTCAAACTCACCCACTCAAACTCACCCACTCAAACTCACCCACTCAGACTCACCCACTCAAACTCACCCACTCAAACTCACCCACTCAAACTCACCCACTCAGACTCACCCACTCAAACTCACCCACTCAACTCACCCACTCAGACTCACACTCAAACTCACCCACTCAAACTCACCCACTCAAACTCACCCACTCAAACTCACCCACTCAGACTCACCCACTCAAACTCACCCACTCAGACTCACCCACTCAGACTCACCCACTCAGACTCACCCACTCAAACTCACCCACTCAAACTCACCCACTCAAACTCATCCACTCAAACTCACCCACTCAAACTTACACACTCAAACTCACCCACTCAGACTCACCCACTCAGACTCACCCACTCAAACTCACCCACTCAAACTCACCCACTCAAACTCATCCACTCAAACTCACCCACTCAAACTTACACACACAAACTCACCCACTCAAACTCACCCAACTCAAACTCACACACTCAAACTCACCCACTCAGACTCACCCACTCAGACTCACCCACTCAAACTCACCCACTCAAACTCACCCACTCAGACTCACCCACTCAGACTCACCCACTCAAACTCACCCACTCAAACTCATCCACTCAAACTCACACACTCAAACTCACCCACTCAGACTCACCCACTCAGACTCACCCACTCAGACTCACCCACTCAAACTCACCCACTCAAACTCACCCACTCAAACTCATCCACTCAAACTCACCCACTCAAACTTACACACACAAACTCACCCACTCAAACTCACCCAACTCAAACTCACCCACTCAAACTTACACACACAAACTCACCCACTCAAACTCACACACACAAACTCACCCACTCAAACTCACCCACTCAAACTCACCCACTCAAACTCACCCACTCAAACTCACCCACTCAAACTCACCCACTCAAATTCACCCACTCAAATTCACCCACTCAAACTCACCCACTCAAACTCACCCACTCAAACTCACCCACTCAAACTCACCCAACTCAAACTCACCCACTCAAACTTACACACACAAACTCACCCACTCAAACTCACCCACTCAAACTCACCCACTCAAACTCACCCACTCACACTCACCCACTCAAACTCACCCAACTCAAACTTACACACTCAAACTCACCCACTCAAACTCACCCACTCAAACTCACCCAACTCAAACTCGCCCACTCAAACTCACTCACGCAAACTCACCCACTCAAACTCACCCAACTCAAACTCACACACTCAAACTCACCCACTCACACTCACCCACTAAAACTCACCCACTCAAACTGACCCACTTTAAACTCACTAACTGTAGTGGTTCGCACACTGCGTTAGAAACCATGCAACCCAAGTCCATTTCCCGCTCACAACCAACACCAGTGATGCATATCTGTGTTTGCCCTGAGCCTCCCATAGGTCGACTCCGTATTAGACGAGTACCACGTGCAGTGTGTAAACCTCAGCACCGGGCAAAGGTGGGCGGGCGTGGTTTTTGTGCTGGCCGCACCACCCCTTCACAAGTGCTCCATGCTGCTTTTCAATAGGCGCTCGCTAAATCTACAGGGGGGGGGGCATCTTTGTCTTGTGCGTGCCCAGCGCAGCGCCTGTGCCTGGTGCCGGCGCCGCAGGGCGCTGCGCTCTCCCAGGAGGAATGGCGCTCCGTGAAGTCACGCTCCGCCCAGCGCGACCTCTTCTCCCTGCCCTGCGTGATCTGCCGTGACGAGCTGGGGGCCCACACGCAGGTGCCCCCTACCCCCCCCCCGTGAGCCTGCGCCCCCCCCCCTGTGACCTCCACGTGACCCCTGCGTAATCCCCCGTGACCCAGCGTGACCCCCCCTTGACCCCGTATGACCCCTGACCCCCGCCCGTGGCCCCCCCACCCCCATGACCCTCTGCCACCCTGCAACCTGTACCCAGTCACCCGCCTTCGCCACCAGCGGGATTCGTAATTGAATGTTTCGGGTCAAAAATATGTGTTGTTAAACCCCTCCTCCACCCGACACAGACGTAGTTTACCAACTTGCAACAAATTTAGATTGTTTTATTATTATTTTATTATTTCCCTTCTATGTGACTTTACCAAAATAACCAAGAATATCAACTTGCAACAATTCCATCAAAGCCCTTTGTGATGAAAAAATTGGTTCAACACGTAGGCTTTTGTGACTAATGTTATCCATAATAGAGGTTTTCTTGGTTTTGATCGCGCGAATATAAATGTGTCATTGAACCCGCCACCACCCGGCACGGACAATTCGTCAGATTTGTCACGTAAACAGAACGTGGCGATGAGTTACGAGTTCAGCACACCGCTGTGTTGGCGAGTAAAGCCACAACATTTACAATTTGAGTACTGTGACGCTTCTCTGGGGATTACAACAGCCAGCCTCATCAGGCGATTCGCCAGAATTGTGAAGAAGTCCTCCTCCTGTTTCGGTCTTGAATAAGGGAGTAGAGGTGGTGATGTCACCACGGTGGACTTATCAGGGGCGAATATTTTCAGAGCATGTTTTGCCACAGGTCTGTGTGGTTAATGCACACATGGTGCCTTGCAATCAGGGTTTCTATTTGGTGTTTGAACACCTGAACAGCGCCTGTTTTATTTCCAGAAATGGGTAAAGCCTATTCTCATTTATTTTCATTTTGATGCTGGCAAACAGAAAAAGGTCCCATAGATAAAACCCTTTCTGCCTTCGGGAGGGGAGTCTACCTGTGACGGCTTGGTGTGTGTGGTGAGCGTCTCATTTGCTGATCTCCTCACCCTCACCACCCTCCTCACCCTCCTCACCCCAGGTGCTGCTGTCCTGCTCCCACGTCTTCCACCAGGTAAGACAGCGGTCCTCACCGGGCAGCCGTGCTGCCCCTGCTGCTGCTGCTGCTGCTGCTGCTGCTGCTGCTGCTGCTGCTGCTGCTGCTGCTGCACGTGACTGCTGCCTGTAGTCCAGCGCTGTGTGGAGGTGGCGGCGGCGGCGGGGGTTGGCGGATCACGCGCAGATTGTCGCAAAACTCACTCTATTCCCACGGGTGGGCTGGGCGTCGTGAAGGAGCCATACCCGGCTCGCCCAGGAGGAGACGGTACAGCAGAGCGAGGAATAATCTCCGTCTGTCGCGTCTGCGTGGGATAGAGCGTTGCTCACTAACGCGCGTGCATTTTCTCCGGGTGCTCTGATTCTGCTCCCACGTGTACAAACACTCGTCATTAATTGGCTGAAAACGTCGTAGTCTACGCGCGCCTCTGTGTTTGCAGATTGCACAGCGTTGTGAGCTGTAGTTAAATACATGCTGCTGCTATAACAACTCAATATTATTATCACCACGGTTACCCATGTGAAATGTGTTACCATGCCTCAGCTCCATTCACCACTGCTCCTCAACGCGCCACTCACCATCCCCGCTGCTCACTGCCCGCACAAACAACATCCCTCGTGCAAAAAGATAAATACAAAACTCCCCCGTGTAGCCCCTAACGTACTGTTGGGGCAAGTGCTATTAGCAAGCGCTTATGAAGGCCGGGACAGTGTACGAAGGAGTGTGTGGCCACTACCGTGCCCGGCCGCCTTTGTCCACCCAGTGGTGATGTTTACACACCGCAGCAGGTACTCATTTGAGACTGAGTCGACCTAGGAGAGGCCCAGGACCGGTTCAGATCATCATCGCTGATGTTGGTGGCCGTAACCATGAATCGAACTCGGGTTTCCGGGTTTGTAGCGCAGTGTGCTAACTGCTGCGCCACGACTCCCCTCGCCCAACACTCGGACACCACCACCGCACACCACGCATCTCTCCCTACCCATCACCACCACCACCCCCACCGCACACCACGCATCTCACCCTACCCATCGCCATCACTACCACCACCGCACACTCCATACGGATCTCACCCCACTCTCCGGACCGTGACTTCCAACTCACAATGGCCGCACTATTTACTAGCGCGGCCGCCGAGTGTGATGATGGTGTGTGATGATGACGTATGATGATGACGTGTGTGATGATACTGACTGTCATGATGCTGTGTGTTGACACTGTGTGCCGATGCTGTGTGATGACACTGTGATGATACTGTTTGCGATGACGTATGTGATGATGATGTGTGTGATGATGACGTGATGATGATACTGAGTGTGGTGATGCTGTGTGTTGACGCAGTGTGTGATGCAGTCTAATAATGTTAATCATGTTACATATCCACCACAACCACACTGAGTCGCGGGAGGGTCCTACCTGCTGCAAGATATTTTTTCAGCCATTTAATGACTAACTAATTATGAAACCGGAGCACCCACTTGCAGGATGGGGTAACACTCAGTACAGATGTTAACAGATGGTGATTAGTCCATTTGCTCAACTGCCTTCTGGTGAGCCACCGATCCTAGCCGCTGGAGTGCTGGATTACAGGATGCGTGCATCGCCATCACCGCCCGGGCACATGTGGTGGTCCAGTCTAGTATTAGACTCGATTATTAGAGTGTAGTATTAGAATCTAGTATTAGAGTCTAGTATTAGAGTCTCGTATTAAAGTCGAGTATTAGAGTCTCGTATTAAAGTCGAGTATTAGAGTGTAGTATTAGAGTATTAAAGTCCTGTATTAAAGTCTAGTATTAGAGTCTAGTATTAGAGTGTAGTATTAAAGTCTAGTATTAAAGTCTAGTATTAGAGTCTAGTATTAGAGTCTAGTATTAGAGTGTAGTATTAAAGTCTAGTATTAAAGTCTAGTATTAGAGTGTAGTATTAAAGTGTACTATTAGAGTGTAGTATTAAAGTCTAGTATTAGAGTGTAGTATTAGAGTGTAGTATTAAAGTCTAGTATTAGAGTGTAGTATTAAAGTGTACTATTAGAGTGTAGTATTAAAGTCTAGTATTAGAGTGTAGAATTAGAGTGTAGTATTAGAGTGTAGTATTAAAGTCTAGTATTAGAGTGTAGTATTAAAGTCTAGTATTAGAGTGTAGAATTAAAGTGTACTATTAGAGTGTAGTATTAAAGTCTAGTATTAGAGTGTAGTATTAAAGTCTAGTATTAGAGTGTAGTATTAAAGTCTAGTATTAAAGTTTAGTATTAGAGTGTAGTATTAACCAATGTGGCCTGATGGAATCGAACCGCCAACGTCCGCAACAAATGACAAACGCGCTACCACTGGTCGGCACCCCCCCCCCCAGACACTCCACGTGAGTCACTCTCACCGCAGACCTCGCCCCCCCCCCCTCCCGTGCCCCCCAGGGATGTGTGGAGGCGCTGGAGCGAGTGGCGCGCTGCCGACGCTGCCCCGTGTGCCGCGTGTCTCCCTATGAGGCTCGCGTCGTGCACGAAGCCTCCCACCTCTACCGCCACAAGTGTGCCACGCGGTGCGCTCAGCAATCACAGCCACAACCACCACAACCAACACAAACACCACAACCACCATAACCAACACAAACACCACAACCACACAGCAAACAAACACCACAACCACCAAAACCACAACCACCACAACCACACAGCAAACACACAACAACACAGACGAACAATTCCTGCGACGTTAACAAAAATATCTGCTGATGCCGTCACATTGGCAGTAATGCACAAGCACAGCGCACAGCGAACCTCGGCACGCGCGGTGATGGAAACGGCCCCTCTTCTTCTTCTTCACGGCACTCGAACAAAGCTGGCTGAGTCTGGCGATCTCTGTCTCTCTAGGCCAGCTTAAGCCTCCCGTACATCACGTGACGCATGTGCGTGACCACCGCATTTCTGTGTGTGACGACAGTTGCTAGTCAATACCAACAACAACACCACCACCGACTTAATGATGTTGCTGATGATGCTGCTGCTGCTACTCACTGCTGTTCTGCCATTGATGATGATGCTCGTGATACGACTGCTGCTAGTGATGATCCTGATGCTCCTGATAACGATGATAATGCTAGTGATGCCTCCCCTGGTACTTCTAACCATTCTGCTACTTCTTCTACTACTACTGATGATGCGTGTGCTGCTGCTGCTGCCGAGTAGGCTGCAGGCGTGGTGGAAAGGCGTCTCTGCTGCTGCTACTGCTGCTTCTGCTGCTGCTGAGTAGGCTGCAGGCGTGGTGGAGAGGCGTCTCTGCTGCTGCTACTGCTGCTTCTGCTGCTGCCGAGTAGGCTGCAGGCGTGGTGGAAAGGCGTCTCTGCTGCTGCTACTGCTGCTTCTGCTGCTGCCGAGTAGGCTGCAGGCGTGGTGGAAAGGCGTCTCTGCTGCTGCTACTGCTGCTTCTGCTGCTGCTGAGTAGGCTGCAGGCGTGGTGGAAAGGCGTCTCTGCTGCTGCTACTGCTGCTTCTGCTGCTGCTGAGTAGGCTGCAAGCGTGGTGGAGAGGCGTCTCTGATGTGTGTGTGCTGCTACTGCTGGTACCGAGTAGGCTGCAGGCGTGGTGGAGGGGCGTCTCTGATGCTGCGTGTACTACTGCTGCTGCTGTTGCTACTGCTGCTGGTACCGAATAGGCTGCAGGCGTGGTGGAGGGGCGTCTCTGATGCTGTGTGTACTACTACTGCTGCTGCTGTTGCTACTGCTGCTGGTACCGAGTAGGCTGCAGGCGTGGTGGAGGGGCGTCTCTGACGATGTGTGTGCTGATACTGCTGCTGGTACCGAGTAGGCTGCAGGCGTGGTGGAGGGGCGTCTCTGCCCGGGCGCGGTTCCGCCGCCTCCGCGAGTCCGTGCCGCCCCGCGACCCCGCGCTGCGCCGCCGCTTCTACGAGAACAAGGTGCCCTGCTGATGATGATGATGGTTACACTGCTGCTGATGATGATGATGGTTATGCTGATGATGATGATGGTTACACTGCTGCTGATGATAATGGTCACGCTGCTGATGATAATGGTTACGCTGCTCCTGATGATGGTTATGCTGCTACTGCTACTGATGATGGTGATGATGATGTTGATAATAACCATTTATTTTTATATGGCGAATGTGTGACCCCGCGACCACGTGACCCCGCGACCGTGTGACCCCACCACTTTGTGACCCCACGACCTGCGACCCTGTGACCCCGCAAGCTGCTGGTGCTGGGCGAGCGTCTGGTTCGTGCGTGCGACTCCGGCGTGGACGCCTTCCTGCGGGAGATGGAGGTGGAACGCGAGCGGCGAGCACAGCAGAGCGAGGGGGCGAGCGCCAGCTGGGACTGGGAGCGCATCGAGGCCACGGTGCTCACACAGTACTCCCCCTCACACACACAGTCACACACACACACAGTCACACACACACACAGTCACACACACACACAGTCACACATTCACACAGTACACCCCCTCACACACACACCCCGTCACAACAACAACAACCGCCATTCGCCACTAAGTGGCGGTGACGTCACCACGACGCTTGTGCCAGGCCAAGTGCACCTTGAGGCCACGTGAAGTGTCGAACGCCCGCTGGCAGGAGGTCACGGGGCAGACTCAGCAGGTGCCACGGGTCGACTGACCGAGATGACCGAGATGACTGGCTGATGCACCACCTTTGCCTCCTACTGTACCAACTTGCTGTGCTTTAGCCGCCCGGCACTCCCATCGTTGTTGTGAGCGTCGCTCCTCTGCCCTCCGATGTTGTTGGAGGGCAGCCTCCAACTGCCCAGTAGCGTCCTTCACGAGCTTCCTCCAAAGAGGCCGATCTCGACACTGCTGGTACCAGTCATCAGTTCATGTTTCTCCAGCCCGTGCTATGCCCATTTAGCCCCCTCTCTACAGCCAAACAGAAGCTGCTTGGGCATGTGGTGGGCTACATGGCCCAGCCAATGCAGACTTGCCTGCTGGAGAGCGCATCAATGGGACTGTGTCCAGATCTTTCAAGGATCTGTGAGCTCCTCACACAATCCAGTCTGGTTAAACCCAGGATAGATCGTAGGCAGGCCAACCTGAATCTTTTAAACCGGTGCAGATGCTCATTTAAAGGGCTCCACGTTATTAGAGGAGGGCATAAATGTGGCCAGGTAGCTTCCACACAGCGTTACGCAGCTGATAAAAAGTTAATGCTGCTTGATTTATTTGGAGTGAGACTTCCGCTATCAAACTGGAGCTCATTATGTATGTATGGTGAACTTGTTTCGCACCGTACGGAGCCAGCTTTGCTAATCGGAGGTGCGGAAATCACACCACCCAGATACGGAAACTTCTCCACTCTGTCCCCAACTGCTCCATCACTCGTGGCGAGTGGCGGGGGTGGAGTGTTTGATGACACCAAATACTCAGACACGTGCTTTGATTTCTGTTTTGATAGTCATGCCCCATCTCTTAGTGGCATGCTCCAGGTTCAACAGTTGCATCTCCAACTCCTTCTCAGAGTAAGCAGCAATTACCAGATCATACGCATACATTACAAATTTGACCAATATGGAGCCATCCCTCGACTGCACTTGGGCATCGATCAGCCTGTCATTGTATCTGTACTGGATAGAAACTCCACTGGTACAGCCAGGAAAAGGTTCTAGAAATAAGTGGTCAAAGAAGATGTTAAATAGTGGTTGGGCCAGAAGACATCCCTGTCTACACCCACATGGGAACCAAAAATGCTCCGACTCCTTGCCACACAGCTTTACCTGGGCCTGCTTACCTTGATGAAGGTCCTTAATGATTGTTAGCAGACGGTCAGGGACTCTCAAAGCACGAACAACAGCTCAGAGCCCTGGCCTATTAATTGGAATCATACGCCTTGACCAGGTCAGTCCCCGACACCTCTGCTGTAACAGACGGACCGAGAAAATAGGTGTCCGTGCAGAACCGCCCCAGTCTGAAATCACAAAACTCTCCTCAGTGCGCCTGGCAATGCGACGTTGAATAACCATCGCCAGGACCTGTTGCGGCCTCACAGAGGAGGGAGATACCCCGGTAGTCTCAGGATCTGGATCACTCATTGTATCTCCTCTGCAGATGGCACATTAGTCCACCACGCATAGGGACTGTAGCCCCAGCAGGTTCACAAACCTTCCTTGCCCCATGATGATGTTTGATCTGAGCGGTTTCCCCTCTCCCAAAACCTCAACACAAACTCTCAGCAAACCTACAAACTTGTTCCTGGGGTCAGAGATCAGGTAATTGTTCTTTCCCTTCAGGATGGTTATAGATGTGCTGCTGAGAGATACTGTATTTTTTATTGAATCAAAGAGTGATTTGTGATCGCGTGCTACATGCACACACAACTACAACCACGGTCGTTCACCATTAAGTGGCGGTGACTTCACCATGGGGCTTGTGCCATACTCTGTGCATTTGGAGGCCACGTGAAGTGTCGAAGGCCCGCTGGAAGGAGGTCATGTAACAGACCCAGGTACCATGCGTTGATTGATTGAGATGCCTGGCAGGTGCACCACCTGTGCTCCTCCCTGTGCTAACTTTTAGCGTTTTAGTTCTGATCATTGTTGTGAGCGTCGCTCATCTGCCCTCCGTTGTTGGTGGAGGGCGGCTGCCTCAAACTGCCCAGCAGCGTCCTTCACGAAGACAAAGACCTCCCGTGTAGCCTTTAACAGACTTTTGGGGCAAGTGCTGCTAGCGAGTTGCACCTATGAAGGCCAGCACAGCACATGAGGGGGTGGGTGGCCAGTACCAGGCCCCACCACCTTTGTCTCCCTAGTGGCGAAATTTCCATACCACACTAGGTACTAATTTGAGGCTGAGTCGATCTAGGGGAGGCCCAGGACCGGCTCAGCTAATCGCCACTGGTGTTGGCCGTGAGCAGGAATCGAACTCGTGTCGTCAGGTGTGGAGCACAGTAACACACACGAAGACAGTGACAAAATGTAAGAACTTTGTACCCATCCCATTAACAGCTTGGTTTAACATTTCAGCAGCATTAGTTCAACACAAAACTCTCGTGTCTTCATCAGACGAGTCGGGCTGTGTGCTCGATCCAAGGAAGACTTCAACCAATGTGCCACAAAAACTCCTCACCTCTGTGTGGAGTTGAGACGTGAAGGAGGCGAATTGTACCTGCTTAGTTATCTCGTTACTTCATTCTCCACAGCGATACTGCGGATTATTGAGTATTTCGCATAACACCGTGCACCACCCGCAGCGCGCGGCACGGGGAGGGGGGTAGAGTGGACGGTGGGGGGATGAGGGAGGGGGGCAGATAAAGAATGCGTGGGGAGTGATAGGGAAGCATACTCTTCAACCCATACTGTTTACCCAGATTCTGTACAGGAAAATTTAGTTTTCAGGTCCATACGGCGTACAGCCGTTTCAATATGGGCAACATGCCTATTTGTTTGTTTCTCCCTTGTAATGGGAGTTTGTAGGTTGAACGTTGAGATTTATAAGGGCACGGGGTGATCATTAAGGTCTGAATGTGTCTGTAATAAGGTAGGGCACTGATAAGGGATTAGCAGATATGGGGAATGGATGGGAAAAGAGCGGAGGAAGGGGAGCGCAGGGTGCCGGGAGAGGGGGGGCCGAGGAGGATGCTGCTGCATCAGGGACTCGACGCTGCTGCCGGCCGAGGGGGGAGTGGAGTCTGTTTTTCACAGGGGCCAGTGGGAGGGAGACGGGTTCCCTTGGGGTGGCCACACGGGAGTCACGTGGTGCACGGGCGGCTTGAGCTGATTCGCACACAGATGAAGGCACGGGCATGGCTCGGTTTACGCCCAGGATGCCTTCCTGAAAACCAGAACGTAAAGAGAAAGTACTTGAATTGAAGCAAAGAGATGGGATGGTGGATCGTAGCGTGGTGCGGTACCTAAACAGAAGATGCTCAGTAACCCATTGCGCATTTGTACCGTACGACCATCGCTGTGAAAAGTGCACGTTATTGATATATTAAAATGTATTATACTATACGTGGTTATTATTTTATAATATATAAAAAATTCCACTTGTATAAACATAGTCGCCAGAATACGGTATGTGGGAAAGCCAGGCTGGGACGGTGACGCGCGAGCGCCACCTGGCGTGTGTGGACGTCGCGTGCAGCGTCAACACTGCCGGTGAGACTCGGCTCGACAGAGGGCTGCTGCTGCTGCTGCTGTCTCTGGTGTAGACCAGTTTCAAAGACAATGCCATATATTATCCATTTAACACGTGGGCTTTCGCGACAAATATCCATAATACAGGTTTTTTTGGGTCAGATCGCGTAAATATAAATGTGTCGTTAAACCCGCCACCACCCAACACAGCCAATTAGAAAGGTTTTGTGACGTACACAGAACGTGCCAATTCGTCACTAGTACTGCACACCGGTGTGTTAGAGAGCAAAGCCACACCATTTACAATCCGAGTACTATGTTTCGCCAGTAATTACATCTGGCTTCATCAGGCGACAGTCAGATTTGTGGCTGTCGCCTGACAGCCACAAGATGAATGGATATTCAGACGACACAATCCGTAAAGCAATCACCCCAACCGTTGGGAAAGAACCATCTGAGGACCCAATCAAAACCCATAACCTTGCCATACATAGCAGGAGTCACCAAAATCATGAGCAAACACAAAATCCAGGTTCGATTTAACACAGTACATAAAATTCGTGATCTCATCCCATCTGTGAAGGATGTGATCCCTGACATGCAATACCCCGGCGTCTCCAAACTAAGCTGTGTCTGCGGCAGTAGTTACATTGGGGAAACTAAGCGACATGTCTCGGACCGTGTTCGTGAACATAAGGCAGATCTGAAACACGGTAGGACCAATACCTCGGCCGTGGCTGATCATTATTTTAATGCGGTGGGCTCACACGAAATAGATTTATCCAATACGAAGGTACTTTGCAAACCAACTGGCTATCAACAAGATTCGTTCATGAAGCCATCCAGATATATAGACACAATTTCAACCGAGAAGATGGGTATAAACTGAGCAATCATTAGAAGGACGTTATTAACCAGTTTAAGTCAAAACTGGCTGTGATGTTTCCACTCCGTCTTCGACGCCGCTCTCCGATCTCACATTAACACACCAGCTGGCAAGCACGTGGCCCTCACTCTTCCATTCCTCGCCTCTCTCAGGCACTGGCGCGGGACCCACGCCTCTGCCCCATCTGCCTCACCTCGCTGTGGACGCCGGCGCAGGAGGCTCCGGCTAGTGCCCGGCCTCTCCGGCAGCATGGCGGTGTCGGGGCCACCAAGGGGAGGGGCCGGGGGAGCGCAGCTCCCCAAAGAGGGGGGGCGGCGGTCACGGAGAGACGGGAACAGAAGCCGGGGACGCGGAGAGGGGCGGCGAGGGCCGCTGCGGCCCCGATCCCGGCGTGCCCCCCGGCGTGCCCCCCGGCGCGCCCCCCGGCGCTGACCCCAGCGGGAACGCCCCCGGTGCTCCTGTCGTGTGCCCACGTGTACCACGACGCGTGCCTCGAGGCGCTGGAGGGGTTCTCTGTGGGAGTCCTGCGCCTCTGCCCTTTGTGCCGCGCTCCCTACAGCAAGAGGCTCCTGCGGGACCCCCGTGAAGGGAGGCAGGGGGGGTTGCTACCACGGGACCCCCCCCCCCTCGATGATGCAGTGACCACACTCATCCCGCATCAAATCATGCAATCAGTGGCAGAGTGAGCGGCTCGCAGGTAGCAGCCGCTAAGGCTGTGAGTTTAAATCTGTTCGGGGGCATAGGGGGGGGGGCGTTTGACTCGGTCCAACTGCACCCAGGAGGTCACGCTCGTCCACCCAGGGGGGTCATCCTCGTCCACCCAGGGGGAGAGAGCCTCAAGTCGTCCCGCCTGGCGATCCACATCCACCCATGCTCATCTTCATGCTCATCTTCCAGATAATCATCATCTCCATCATCAGCATCACAATCTTGATTTATCCTGGAAGATTTCCGATGCGTTTGAAGATCTTTTTTTCACAGATGTCCAATAGGGGTTCGCGGGTCAGCGAGAAAAAGTAATTAAGTCGCTAAAAATAAATTTAATATGTTCGTTCGTTTCTCAATCCGCTTGTCATGGTGAGGGTCGTGGTGGCAGCGTGTTGAGTAGTGGCGGTCCACACCTCCCTCTCCCTGGCGACAGACTCCAGCTGTTCCGTGGGGAATTCCCAGGCCAGCAGAGCGACATAGTCCCGCCAGCGTGTCCTGGGCCCATTCTCAACACCAAATGCAAGCTTGGGACAAGGCAGCACACCAACAACAGTCCCTCAATTTCATTGCACGTTAAACTTGAACTAACGGTGCACGGGTGAGATTCAACATTACAAATCACATTTGCAAGCGTGGCTGTATCGGTATCATTAATCCATCACCGTAGAGTTGACATCATTCGGCTCAATCCAACAACATCGGCATCGCTTTAGCGTCATCATCATCTCAACCGGATCATAATTATAATCAGGAGCAAGTCATCGGGGTATGATGGCAGTACAGCAAGTGGGTACATTTCCATCTACACACAGATGACCCCCACTTCACACTTGGGAGGTTTCTCTGGGCGCTCCGGTTCCCTCCCAGCTGCATAAACCCTCGTCCACGGAGCTGGCCAAACATGCCAGCACAGGGCCCCAGAGCTTGGGCAATTGTTGGTAGCGTCAGTCCGGATCCGCCTTCCTCCTCACTTGTCGTGTCCCACGCCTCCGAACCATTCTCTCTCTCAAAGTGAACCAATACTGTGCACGCTAGTTTCTAAATTACTATCAAGATCGACTCAGCCTCATCATCGTCGTCGTTATCATCACCGTCTCTCCAGGGTGGGTAAAGTGAGCACCACCACGAGAGGCTGAATCGCTCGGTGAAGAGAAGTCAACGTTGGCTGGTGTCGCGTTCATTAGACCTTGACTCGGCCTCGCCAAAGTAATGTGGATCTTGTTCCACTGGCTCAGGACCGCTCAGTATATGTAAGTCTGTGGGCCTCGATGTAAGTTTATGAGTGTCTTATGTAAGTCTATGGGTCTCGATGTGAGTCTAAGTCTTATGGCCAACACCAGTGACAATTATTTGAATCGGTCCTGGGCCTCCCCTAGGTCGACTCAGCCTAAAATGAGTACTTGGTGCGGTGTGTAAACATCGCCACTGGGGAGACAAAGGCGGTCAGGCGTGGTGCTGGCCACCCAAGCCCTCATGTACCGTGCCGGCCTTCATCGTTACTCGCTAACAGTATTTGACCATACAGTCTGCTAAGGCTATCCAGGGATCTTTGTATTGTGTGTCTATGCAAGTCTGCGGGTGTTTGTTAATAGACTATTTCCAGGTGAAATGCGGCAACGCCTCGACATCCGCCAGGGTGCAATTCCTGAAAATCTGCGCGAAAGTAGAATTGGCGAACGTTGGTGCGATGTTTATGTCTGGGGAGAGGGGTGGGGGGTTGAGGCCCGCGTCCGACTGAACATACGGGAGAAAATGAAAATGTTTGGTAGCATTAATCCTGCCTTGTACACATAAATATAACATCCATACACTTATTTAAAGTGTGCATAATACTAATTAGTAATATGACAAAACACATCAATAAAGTACAGTGTGAATCTAGAAATAGTTTTTTACCGATGTTGATTCTGGGGGCGTGATGATGATTCTACTCTGGCGGTCATCGTCACCCTTTGCCCCACACTTACCCAGATCGCCCTCTCGTGTGTCTCTTCGTTACCCCTTGCCCCACACTTACCCAGATCGCCCTCTCGTGTCTCTTTGTTACCCCTAGCCCCACACTTACCCAGATCGCCCTCTCGTGTGTCTCTTTGTTACCCCTTACCCCCACACTTACCCAGATCGCCCTATCGTGGGTGTCTTCGTTACCCCTTGCCCCACACTTACCCAGATCGCCCTCTCGTGTGTCTCTTTGTTACCCCTAGCCCCACACTTACCCAGATCGCCATCTCGTGTGTCTCTTCGTTACCCCTTGCCCCCACACCCAGATCTCCCTCTCGTGTGCCTCTTCGTTACCCCTTGCCCCACACTTACCCAGATCTCCCTCTCGTGTGTCTCTTTGTTACCCCTAGCCCCACACTTACCCAGATCGCCATCTCGTGTGTCTCTTCGTTACCCCTTGCTTCACACTTACCCAGATCTCCCTCTCGTGTGCCTCTTCGTTACCCCTAGCCCCACACTTACCCAGATCGCCCTCTCGTGTGTCTCCACAAATCCCACTTCACTCGTCTACCACGCAATGGCACCAACAGCAGACACCGCACCATCACCACCAGCAGGTCTAAACTAAAACTAAACTACGTGTTTCTTTTACCAGGTGAGGCAACACTGCGCTATATAATTGTATCTCTTTTCCAGAAGCGATCTGGCCACAAATGATAGCTCAACGAAGCAGTGGCGTATGACGTGGACATCTATAGCAGGCGAATACTCTAAACGCGCGATGTTTATTCTAAATGTGGAGGTGAAAACCCGTGGGACCCGGAGAACAATTCACACGACCACGGGCAGAACACGCAAACTCCAAATATACAGCAGCAGGCATCGTCAGGGTCGTGATCGAACACACGCGCTCCTGTAGACCAGTCGAGGTATTTAACATCCTAGCCACCGCGGCGTACAAGTCTATCCAACAACTCCACCGTTTGAGCTAAACCCATCACCTCTGCCCTGTCGTACCCTTCGCCTCCTCCACTCACTTAGACTCCACGATCGAAACTCACAAAAAAACACCGCAGGGCAAATGGGCGGATTGGTGGAACACTGTCGCAGCATGACACACCGGTCCTCGTTAAACGGTCTAAACTCAAACTTTGAACCGCCAAATCTGTGTGTCGGTCTTGGATTGAGTGAGCCGCAGACTCCACAACAGAAGTCGCCTTAAATTGAGCGGCTGCTGTCTCATTGGAATGTGCGGGTGAGTGTAAGGGTGAGTGTAAGGGTGAGTGTCAGGGTGAGTGTCGTACTCACGTGCCCCCCCCCCCCACGCGGCCATCGCCGCCGCTGTCGCGCCCAACAGCAGCGCGCGGATTAACGCGCCCTGAGTGATGACTCCCTGGGGGGCCGGGGGTGCAGGGTGGGGGGTAGACACAGACAGAGGCTCGTGTCACGCCGTGTCTAATATGGACACGGTCATCAGAATACCGCGTCTCGCGTGGACTCGCACCACAGGGACCCACGTCTCGTGTGGACTCACACCACTGGGACCCACGTCTCGTGTGGACTCACGTCTCGTGTGGACTCACACCACTGGGACCCACGTCTCGTGTGGACTCACACCACTGGGACCCACGTCTCGTGTGGACTCACACCACTGGGACCCACGTCTCGTGTGGACTCACACCACTGGGACCCACGTATCGTGTGGACTCACACCACTGGGACCCACGTCTCGTGTGGACTCACACCACTGGGACCCACGTCTCGTGTGGACTCACACCACAGGGACTCACACCACAGAGACCCGCGTCTTCAGAGGAAGCGTCCTTGTCGATAGCGTCTGAAAGTTCACCACCATTGAATCGGGCGGGCCTGGCTCTGCTGATGAGACACTGATTGTCGAGTCCCGTCCAGAGCGTTGCTTGTGCTCAATCAATCTGGGAATAATACGCTCCCAGTGTGTGTTGGTGTAGAATATTCCTGTTGTGTGGACTGATGGATACATCCTGAAGCGTTCAAAATTGCGCTCAAAGGCAAAAATAAAATAAAAACCCCGTATAGCCTGAACAGACTGTTGGGGAAAGTGCTGTTAGCGAGCACCTATGAAGGCCGGGACGGTATACGAGGGGGTGGGTGGCCAGCACCACGCCCGACCGCCTTTGTCTCCACAGTGGCGATGTTTACACAGAGCACCAGGTACTCATTTGAAGCTGAGTCGACCTAGTGAAGGCACAGGACCGGTTCAGATAATCGTCACCGGTGTTGATCGTGAGCAGGAATCGGACTCGGGTCGCCAGGTTCGCAGTGGAGCGCGCTAACCATTACACTACCGCTCCCCACACGCCTGCACACACAGTCCTACACACACACACGCCTACACACACAGTCCTACACACAAACACCTACACACAGCAACAACCGCCATTCGCCACTAAGTGGTGGTGACGTCACCACGACGCTTGTGCCGGGCTAGGTGCACGTTGAGGACTCGTGAAGTGTCGAACGCCCGCTGGCAGGAGGTCAAGGGGCAGACCCAGGTGCCATGGGTCGAGTGACTGAGATGATTGGCTGATGCACCACCTGTGTCCCCTACTGTGCCAACTTGCTGTGCTTTAGCCACCCGGCGCTCCGCTCGTTGTTGTGAACGTCGCTCCTCCGCCCTCCGTTATTGTTGGAGGGCGACTGCCTCCAACTGACCAGCAGCGTCCTTCACGAGCCTCCTTCACAGAGGCCGATCTTGACATCGCTGGTACCAGTCATCGGCAAGTCCACTCAGCTCCACGTCCTCCTGTACCACATCACTCCATCTCTTCTCTAGCCCGTGTCGCGCCCGTTTAGCCCCCTCGATCCGGTAGAACAAAAGCTGTTTAGGCATGCGGTGGCTGGGCATGCGGGCTACATGACCCAGCCAACTCAGCCTTGCCTGCCGGAGGAGCTCACCGATGGGACTTTTCCAGATCTTTCAAGGATTTGTGAGTTCCTCACACAATCCAGCCTGGTTAAACCCATGATAGATCGTAGGCAGGCCAGCCTAAATGTTTCTAACCAGCGACGATGCTCCATTACACACACACCTACACACATCACGCATCTACACACACACGAACATACCACACACCTATTCACACATACACACACCTACACACACACACACCTACACACACACCTACAGACACACACCTACACACACACCTACAGACACACCTACACACACACACACTTACAAATACACCTACACACACACACCTACAAACACACCTACACACACACATCTACACACACGCCACACACCTACACACACACACATCCACACACAACCACACCTACACACACCTACACACACCTACACACACCTACACACACACACACACGTACACACACCTACACACACACCTACACACACCTACACACACACCTACACACCTACACCTACACACATACACCTACACACACCTACACACACACACACCTACACACACACACTTACACACACACCTACACACACACCTACACACACACCTACACACACACACCTACACACACGCACCTACACACACCTACACACACCTACACACATGCACACCTACACACACGCACCTACACACACACACACCTACACACGCACACCTACACACACACCTACACACACACACACCTACACACACACACACCTACACACACATACCTACACACACACACCTACACACACACCTACACACACACACACCTACACACACACACCTACACACACACACACCTACACACACACATACACACACACCTACACACACACCTACACACACACACACCTACACACACCTACACACACTTACACACACACACCAACACGCTCTCACTCTCCTTCCTCTCTCCCGCTCCACGCCGAGAGCTCACAGCGCCCTCTCGGCGGTTTGCTGCCCCCGCTTCGTTGCACCAATCAGCGTCGCGGGGCCGTCATCAATTAACCCCCCACGCCCCCCGCCCCTCCCCACCTGCCTCGCTAATGGGGTCCGCTCGTGTTTGTGCAGGTGTGCGTACGCGCCAGGTGATGGAGAAGCGAGGGGCGGGGCGGTAGGGGGAAGGGCGGTTGAGGGGACGGGTAAAGGGGATATGGGCTTGAGGTTAGTAGGGGGGGGGGTGACCCCTACGGGGGAGGGGTGAGAATGCTGGGGGGGGGGGGGTCACGTGGGTTCTCGTTAATGAGGAGCGCGCGCTGGAATGCGCCGGGGTGGAACGATTTTGATGAATCACCAAGCGGGTGACGTCACCCGCCGCAGTGAGGACGTCAGCCCAGCGGGTCTCGCCCCCCCCTCGTGCCTTCACGTCCCTTCCCCAGCGGGGCGCGAATACCTCGACATGGGGGGGGAGGAGGTGGGGGTGGGGGGTCGCCCTGGTTGCGGCAGCGGGAGGAACATCCAAATGTGCGCGGGGAACGTCAACTCCACGTTGCTGCGGCAACTCGCAGATCGATGCGACACGTGGAGCACGTGGCTGGCGGACACGACACCACGTGATGTCGATGATTATGACGATGCACCACGTGAAACCAACGATCTTGTTTTTGTTGTATTTTTGGTTCGGCAAAAGGGTGCGAGTTTTTATGCCAAACTGTATTCTGATGCCCTCCATCATCCAACGAGATTGTCCACGTGTACACCGGTAACATTATTATTATTATTTGACACGCGTGCCGATGTAATGGTCAGGATTGTAATGGTAATGGTCAGGATTGAGATAGGGAGGTAATTGGAAGGGTCATCTGTAGCGCCACCCGCTATGTATGTTGAACTGCTTTCGCACCGTACGTAGCCAACCGTGCTAATCGAAGGTGCGGGAAAAGGACAACAACCGAAACACAAAAAGCAGTTCTAAAGGAATTAGTTTTCAATCGAGATTTAAAAGTGCATCGCTCCAGTGGCTTCCTAATATCGCAAAGA